TCGCTGATGGCCGGAAGGGCTCCTCCCGAATAATTCTCGACTATCGACGTTCTCTTCGAGCAAACTGAATCGCGTCGCCTCGTTGCGTACGACGTAGTTCGCTTACCACAACAACCAAAAAAGCCAGCGAAATGGTTTTTGATACTATAGGTATCGAAAAAAATATCTTATCCTACATCTTACTTACTACAACAACCGAAAGCCCAGCGAAACCTCTTCTTGTTAGCCGGCTTGGTAGATCTCACGCAGCCCCTCATGTATCGGTCATTGTTCACGGTGTCAGACACGTGGCGTTTATGACGCTTCTCGCGAAATCTAACTAATCTAGCGCCGCGCGCGTGTCGGAAGAGAACGGCAATGTGCGTTTTGTGTCGTTCTTGTCGTCGTCGTTTTGCAAAAGGGTGGTACTGAAACGTCGAACTACTTTCGAAGTGAACACAAGCCCCAGCTGGTCATACGAATCTTGTTCGCGTATAATATTGTATTTATTAAAGGGCCACACCGGTGTATTTACGATAACTAACACGTTCAGATTTATTACGAGGACGTAGCCGTTGATGTCATCTCCGGTCTTGCATGTATAGCAGGTTGAGAGTCTTTCTGTCAAGAGTCTCTCTGTCATGAGTTCCAAAATAATTGGGCATGTATTGTTCGTCGGTGATGTCTCCGAACGGAAGGTTACGGTAGGCCATGTTATTATTAAAGTATCGGTCCATGTCGTGTTGGTCCGTGTTATTAATACTTGTGTATTGGGAGGCTTCTTAAAAAATATTTATATATATATCGCGCTATCGCTCAGTAGTTATTATACTACACGTTACTAGTATTGGAAAATAAAATTTTGGCCACCCCAAACGCGGACACGTGAAAACGCCGTAGATAGCGCGTGCACGTCGAGGGGGTTATAATTCGCGGGAAAGTTTGTCTAAATAATTGTGTTTTACACAAAAAATAATGTTTTCGGTTCGATAGAAACCGGATTAATAACAATAAACAATGGCCGTTTCTCGCGGAGATTAGAGATAAAGTCGTAGCCGGCGTGTACGCGATCGTGGAAGACATCCTAATGGGTGTACTCGAAGAGGAGGTTCAACATCTGGAAGATGTTATGCTCGCGGCAGAAACCGATAGATCGAAACAAAAGAAGCGAACTAATGACGTTAAACCGAAAACCGCGACGAAAAGAACCGATTTCAATTTACCTTCGAAGCTTTCCAAAGCTCACTAGTTGACGGACCCTACAGATATAAAAATCCTACAGGTGAAATTTTAATCCAACGCAGGCTATAAATATCGCAGCAAGGGGAAAAACGTTTCAGTTCTGCTACAAGAACAACAGTTATTCGAAATCAACTGCGCAACGCACGACAGCCGAAATCAGCACGACTATGGCATACGCATGACGTTCGACGCGCATATCGGAGGATGAGATCTGCCGGATTCAGCATGAGTGCATGCTATCTCCGTGCGACGTCACGGATTTCGTCGGGGACGAAGTCGCAAGCTACCTGCAATGCACGGCGAAAAAATCTACGTCCAATGCAATGTTTCTACTGAGCGCATTCATCGGTTTCATTGCGGGACTGATGCCCACCTGGGTGGAGGTGCGTGGAGCAGGATTGCAGCAGCCACTGAACAGCTTCGTAATCATCGTCGGCCCTAAAGGAAGCGGGAAAACGCAGGCGTTGAACAACGTCGTCATCTCCGGGACACACGAGATAGCGAAAGAACGGCAGGAATCGCTGATATTTAATCTAAGCACGAAGGAGGGCTTACTGAAGCACGTGAGTGCCCAGCCTTGCAAGCATACGCTGATAGCAGGCGACGAGTTTTGGGCGTACCTCGGCGGCCTCCTCCACCGGCAGGCAACGCAAGCGTCGGGCGAGATCCAGCTGCTATCGCAAAGCTGGAGCGGCTCACCAATAACGGCGCAATATGCGACACGCAGGGTCATCACGCTGGACAGCGCCAATATCTCCATGGTTGGCTGTATGCAGATGGACTTGCTGCTGCAAGCGTTACAGGACACCTGCAAAGGCGATGGCTTCATAGATCGATTCATCATCATCTGCCCAATGCCCGCGCTTCCAATGCCCCAGGAGACGATTGAAGCTGCAGCGGAATTCAACGCTGCCTACAACGATCCAGCGCGCATAGCATTGAAAATATATGATTGCCACCACGACCACGACGATGAAGAGAAGATCTCGTACAGTTTTACCGGCGGCGCTGAGGAACACCTGATAAACATCATAACAGCGTCACGCATAAACTTCAACGAGCAAGTAATGAACGGCGAACCGGTAAGCGATGTCAACAGCATGGAGCCTGACAGTGCGGATGGCGGCGGTACTCCTCATTCTGGAGCATTGCATTGTAGACGAGCTGGCGACACGCATGCCGAGAATCATTTCACTGGAGAACCTGAAGCGTGCGCAAGCACTCGTCGACTACAGCAACTGCATTCTGAACCAGCTATGGGCGTTTCTCGACGGTCGCTCGAAAGAAGGCGCTGCTGAGCCGGCCGAAGACGTACCGCACAAGGCAGCAATAAAATGCATACTGCTGTTTCCGGGACGCGTTGTGCGTATTCGAGAACTGCAACGCTTCGGTAATGGCGTCATCAGACAACTGAAGGCAGCAGAGATACGCCAAATCTTGACGGAGATGGAGACCGACCACGTAGGGATTTACGATCGCGCCCGGGGTATCTTCACCAAAGCGGCGCCAATGGATCTGCCTATCGACCTGCGGCGCTACGCGACGGAGCCGCAGGAATACATTCGGTCGTACTCCGACCAGATTCATCCTGCAACGCTCGGGTATCTGAGGCGAACGGGAGCGCTAGAATGATTTGTTGTGTTGATCAGTTGTGTGAGCATAAAAGAACAGGGCTTAACTCGAAACATCATGAGTGTTGTTGTTTGTTCTATCAGCGCTGTTAACGCATGCATTAGACATATAACACATATAAAGACATATAATATAAGATAAGATAATTATAAAAGAATATAATAGAAAGACATATAATA